AGAAATGAGCAGAAATGGGAAGAAGTGGCTATGAAGTGACAGCCACAAAGCTGCTTAGTTGAGGCTAAAACGATCGGATTTGTACGAGACTCGACCCTGCGCTTATCCTTTCCAGGCATCAGACCCGACGGACTATCAAATAGTCCACAGCACTCGCTGGTTTTCTGGACACCAAACTTCGAATATTGAGCCGAAAACAGTTGATCAGGTCAATGGAGCATTACAACTTATAGTTTCAAAAGAATGGAATCGGCAACATTCTTCAGCGATTGACAAGATACGGGCGCTATTCGATTTGGGAGGGGCATTTCGCACTTTTGTTCGTTTCTTTTGTTAGTTCCTGTTAAAGTACACTTCGCACCCTGGTGAGACCTGTAGACTACTGTCAAGTGTAACTGAAGTTTCTGTTGTTCCATAGCTTCAAGGATTTTACAGGTCTTCACAGTACATAGGCATCGCCGGAGATCGATGGAAATCAGCAAAATGCCCCACCAAGCCGAACTGAACATTTCTCGTTATTTTGACAGAGAAATATCTCGAGGTTCCAATACAAAGGCTAATAAAAGTTCCCATCCCTAGAATATTCTACCCCTGGAAAGGCTCTGAGGAGAGAATCCACCAGTGAAGGTGTGAGGTTATCCTTTAGATCACATATGGTGGTCCCTGCTAGCCCCTAGTAACAAGAATTTTTATTGTAATGTAGTACAGGAGGCTCTAGAAAAGGAAAATGAAGTAAAAAATAAGAAAATTCTGCACAAGAATTTTGTGAAATTGTAGGGACCCTATCTGTGCCAAGCAGCCTTTCGGACAGCTGCTCGTGGAGTTCAGGAATCACCTTTGTGTACGAACTTTGCTTTTTCTGTGGGTGTTGGGGAACACTGCAGTGGAACGGAACGTTCTTTTTTACAAGAGTTGTACGGCAGACAGTTGTTCACGAACTAAAAACGATCGAGGTAGGAAAAAATGATGAGAGAGACGAAAATCGTAAAGGGAAAATCGATAAGTAAAGCGATGATGGTGTGGTGTCACTCTTTGGTGGCCTTTGGAAAGAGTGCGGCGATGATCGTTGATGCCGAATAAACTTTGGCCGTTGGTGTGGAACTCCCTAATTCCTCATCTGGTTGAATTAAATCATAAATAAATTAATTTAATCATAAATATATTGCGGGGAATGATTTGTTTCTTTTAACTGATTGTGAGTAACCTTTGGAAAAATCGTGCTGAAAAGAGTAGGCTGAAAATCGTTGTCATGATTATTTAAATATTACAATACCGCTAGTGTGTCGGTTTCACTTCTTGGCAGAGAAACCGTGAAGTTTTTTTCGTCACATGAACCGCTTTTGAAGCGCAAGAAGGAGTTCAGAAAGTCCCCATGAGCTCGTAGCCACCTCCCACCGGCTGCACTCTCGAACTGGAACGAAGGAGAATTGTTAGATTTAGGTGCTAAGTAGTTGGGAAATCACTCGACAGCGCTTCCACATCCCTTCCTCCAATCGATGTATAAGGTTTGTGGACACTTTTTCTTCTCTCGAAGCTATCCCTCGGCGACTCTGGTCTTCTGCACTCTGAGCGTAACCTTTTTGGGGAAAGAGTACAGAAACTCGCCGCTAAGCAATTTTCAGGCATCCCCTCCCCCTCAAATACCATACCTAACGTTTCCGCTGTGATCCCCAACCCGCCCCCCCCCCCCAGCGTGCCTGGGTAAAAAGTTTTTTTCTTGTTGCATCGGATATAGTGACAAACTGTCGGTGCGCATCACTACCGAAGAAATGAAAGATAATAAAATGCTAGGGATATGGCTTCAACCCCATGAAAACGAACAAATGGTAGCAAAACAGCTTGTCGTCACAGCGTCTATGATCCGATGGTGTCGGGTGAAGGGCCCTTCTGTGGCCACAACGACAACCCTAAACCTTTCACAGCAATTTGGCTGCGGACATTACCTGAGCTCAGGTACATTTACTTGTAAGATTGGAACTGTTGAAACAGAAAAAAGATGTGGAGAAGCACACATATTCTCCTAGAGGTTCTGAACTAACCCCGTCAGAGACGATATAAATTGACACCAGATTCGTCTAGGAGGATAAGAACCCTCACTCGCAATTCCGGCGAGTCCCTTTCCTAGGGCCCCGTCGCATCAAATGGGCTACTACGATTCTGGATGGAAGCACGATACATGGCGCAACTCACAAAGGGAATAAAAAAATGGCAGAAACCTTATCATTTGACGCGCCGGAAAAATAAATAATAATAATAATAAAAATATAGAAGAAGAACGAACAGTAATTAATAATAATAATAATAATAATATTAATTTTAATAGAGAATGCAGGTAAAGGTTCAACACTCTTAAAGCAAAAATGGGAGGGCTCCTGGATTCCTCAGCTTTGAAGTGCTTGAATTATAGGTATTCCAACGGATTCAGAATAGCTAGGCGAGGAGAAGAAAGACGTGAGAAAGGTTGCTCACAAGGAAAAACGGTAGTGACCGCGCGTGAAAGCGGGTCAGCACTCAGGTTGGACTGATGGAAGGGTAAGGGGGAGTTGAACTAAAAGTGAAATCGCAAATGAACAGACGCCGAGGCCACTTCAGTGACTCATCGCCCTTTGAAAATAAGAGGTCATTGCGAGCGGTCGCCAGCGTAGTCGTAGCTGGCGACAGTTGTCGACTGAATGGGTATTGTAATAAGCAGAAATAAGAGCCTGGGAGGATGCCAGACCTTTTCTTCGTAAACGTATGTAGACTCGAACTGTTCCCGTGTGGTAATCTAATGATAAGATTTCGCTGGGCGTGCTGTTGAAATACCATTATTATCAGTTGGTCGGGCAATCAGCGAAGGAATGTCGTTTATCGGAACGATTATCAGAAAAATGCTGGTTTATGGGTGAAATCTAAATATCAAGGGAAACACCTCTTCCTGCTGAGTCACCAAAAAATTGTTGCACTGGTTATTTAGAAATTTTTAGGAGGGTGGAGTGCAAGGTCAGGAAAGACCAAAGACTTTGGTCTGCGAGGAAAAACTAGAGCAGGGATACTGATGAATGATCACTCCTTTTCTGCTTGGTTCCTCAGATTTGTAGAGACAGCGGGATCCGCCTTTCCAGTATGATAAGGCCGTTTCTCTCAATGAAATTAATGGTCGGGATGGGCGTCAGGTATCTCCGAGTTCTCCTGCAAATGGTCAGGCCAACACGGTTGGGGCTTTTTCGGGGCTCCTTTCGGGCACCTCGAGCGTGAATGTCGAAAGGAAGATGTCAACTTTTAAGCGCTGTGAATGACTAGAAGACCCAAGGCGAGTTCACCTTCTAAAAGAATGAATAAAACAATAACAACTTTGATATGAAATGAATTACTTATGACTTATGGCGCACTCCACATGCTAACGATGGGGAGAACGCGGTTGCGTTCTTCATTTGAACCTGACTTTGCTGCCAGTTTTCGTGGGATATTCGTTTGAGACAACTGTCATTTTGTCTTGTGGTGAACAAAAACATGGTGACCGTTGTCTTGAAGGGGTGGCACGAAAAATTCCCAAGACCTGTAAGATCAATACGCCTAGCAGGACAGAATTCGGAACCTATAAGCAGGCCCTGCGTGGCGCCTTTTCCGAGGAAGGCACCCTTATCAGGCTACAACATGCATGCCGATCTTGAGGCCCACTGCACCCGCTCGCCCACAAATGTCGGACCGATGCTGGTGCTCGTATCGCTTCATGCGAAGAACAGTGTGAAGCGTGGGGATTGATATGAAGCGGCTGCGGTGCAGCATGGATATGAGAGCACATACATGCAGTTGCATCTACCGCAGTTGTTTTCGGCACGATTCCAAGGGGCTATTTGT